TTTGATGACGAATCGACGGGCGTTTCGCCAAACCGCGACGTTTTTCGCCTTCGACGAAACGCTAGCTCGATCGCCCTGGCGTTTTTCGCCAGCGAAATCGATACGCATTTATTGCTTTTCGCCCAACCGCCGAACCGCGGCGGTTCGGCGAAACTAGCGGTTGGCGATTCTCCGATCGATGACTATTTTTTGCTTTTCTCCCAACCGCCGTTTCGTCAGGGTCGCAGACTGTGAACAATGCCTAAGCAGACCTCATTCTCCATTCGAGCGAAGTCTACGAAATATCGGCTACTGTCAGCCTTCTCTAAGTTTCCTCTCCGTTGAATCTTCCATTCTTCAGTTGTGAGTAAACCGATACGTACAGTAGGTATCAGCGGGGGTGGTATCAGAGGAAATGACAGGAAGTCGAGTTGTGTCAGAAGGAAAATTTGGAATGACCCCACCCACGGCGTTTCCTACCACCTTGGGTCCTTTGGTTATTTTCCTGAACCGATCAATAAGCACATTGGGAGGAGGAGGGAAGGGGGTCATCCCACGCCTCCCTTTCACCACTCCAGTAAAACGCATTGAAGATGAAGGCACCGTGAAAACGCAGCAGAAATAGCTTTTGGTGAGCCTCGGTAGACCGGACACTCTCTGTTCGATCTGGAGAATGACGTGCTCTGTACAGTGAGAGCTATCCATGCAAAGATGGTATCGTCGCAAACCGGCAAAGCGGTGTCAGGATGTGTGGAGCGAGCCCGTCCGCGGCTTCGCTTTCTACCAATGGTGGTCAGTTCAAGTACTCAGCAGACCGCCTAGAAAGCGGCTAATGCCGTTTGGACTCCAGCAACTTCGGCACCGAGCTCATTTTTAAATTACCTAAGTCGCCAAACCCGCTGAAAATATGTACACAAGGGTTATTTACCATCCTGATTACAATTATGACACTCATTCTTGGCGCTGGCGCCAAGGGATGACACTACGATTACCTCTTGGGCTCAGCCTTAGCGGAGCGCAGGTAATCGTAGTGTCATCCATTAGCGCCAGCGGCAAGAGTGAATGTCATATTCGTAATCAGGATGTTAAACTACCCCTACATACAAGTTTTTAGCGGATTTGGTAACTTAGGCAATTTAAAAATGAGCTCGGTGCCGAAGTTGCTGGAGTCCAAACGGCATTAGCCCTAGAAAGCTGAGGGACTAATTTCACGCCTCCTTACACCGCCCCTCCGAACTGCGACCACATCAACAGTAACAGTTTGCGCTTCCCATCGCCCAGACGATTTCAGGTTACTCCACATGTTGGTCACAAGTATGCTGTCGTCAAACTCTATCCAGGCATAGATGAAACAATTTTTGGGAAATTGCTGGTGAGCATGTTTATGTAGGTGTTAGTGATTGGCGTCACAAACAGATAACGATTACATATTCGGAGACACATTCCGAGATTACCCAGCAAAAGAAGTTTTTCTCTGTAGAGGTAGGCAGATCTGGATCCCAGATGTTGCCCCACTATCGCGACCACACGGAGAGTGACGATGGCGCTGCGAGCTTCATAAACCGCGGGTTATGTTACCCGTAGAAAGTACTATCCACCTCATGTGTTTGGGAACAGGACTTAAAAGGTATTGATAAATCTTCCATTGGAAGGGACCTGAGACGGTGCTGGTGGCGTAATGGATAGAGCACTCGTTCGAAAAGCGTGAGGTGCGGGACCTAGAGTCAAGTCATCTGTCTACAAGTCAGCATTCATATGATAAGATTCGAGCGCAAGCTGCAGCATTAAACAGCTGTTTTACAGTAAACATTTTGAAAAAGGAAGGGGCTGTATTCTGCGAACGGAATGCTTTGATACATTAGCTGCCCCGTGTCCACGGGAGCGTATGCTTGCAAAGATGCAGCTGGTGCGGGCGCTAGAGCAGCCTCAGTCTGCTCTAGCGCCCGTACCAGTGCGCACCCAACCGTGCACTTCTGCTGATAGAACTGGAATCTTGCTCCAGATCTGAACATTGAATTTTGCCCTTATATGGTCGATATATTGGTATTCAGAATGGTCTCGGACTTGAAGTCTTTTATACAAATGATTTGAATTGCAATCAGACGGAAGAAGAAGAAGTCCCGTGGAGCTGCACAGAGGTGCGAGTCATTGGAGTATTCATTGTGGACACATTCTGCGACAAGCAAATGGTCAGAGACTCATATAGGTTGTAACATCGCAACCAGTCGGAGGCGATGTGATGAGGGCGGTATCAGCCCGCCTCCCGCTGCCTTGCTCTACCAATGGTGGTCATCCGTTCAGGAAGAAAACAGCCATGGTGGCAAGGCCGCAGGTGGTGTCAGTCCATCTCTCCTGTATTGCGACCCAACTGGTCGCGATGATACCAACTGTAACTTTCCTTCTGGAGCAGTGAAGGGAAGAGGCGTCTCATTGTTGGTGAGGAAAGCAGAATGATTGCGAGCCTTTGCCCATTTACTTCATTGTAGTGACTTTACTCGACAGCTCTGCTCAGAATCTCTGCTCTGTTCAGAATCAGGACGCTGTGATCGCTCCATCAGTTCCTCCAATTGCTCAGACATGGAACGATGAGCTTGCTATTCGTGAATGGATGACGCTCATCGAGTTTATTGAAAAGAAGTGAGACCTTGTCTATTTTCAATTCTTGCCCTTTTCCTTGTCTATTATGGAGGAAAAATGACAGTGTGGCTGTAATGTAGCCTCCTTGCATCCAGTTGTAGAGGGACGTTGCCGTGTTTGGCTTGCTGGGAAGGATCTGAAGATCGAAAGTTTGGGAACGAATCAGGCATTTTTAGGTCCTTATGTAACTTGTGATCCCCCGCTCCCTGGGATCCAGGGGACTCCCAATTCTACATGCTCACCACTAGACAGTTTGCGCGAGGAGCGTGCCAAACAATGGTCCAGTGAGAGCGCTGCTTGGTGTGGCTGTTATGTCGCGCACGTATAGCCATGATCCCTGCAAACGATAGAGAG